TCGTGATGTGTTGGCTCTACGAAGCCTCGTGTAATTTTTCTTTTACATTATCTTGATTTTTTATTATGCAAATCGACATTCATTTATAATTGAAAAATGTTAATCATGTCAAAATTTATATGAATCTAATAAAAACTCAATTTTTAAAAAAATGCAAAAATGGGCTGTTTCTATTGTCCGCACCCCATATGATAAAATTTTAGATGTGACAAATCGTGTGACTGATACATACGTACGTACGTACGTACGTACCTAATACACGAACGTACGTACGTAATATAAGTAGGTAGTTTCATCAACTAATGCAAATGTAAAAAGGCAAAAATACTTTCTTGTGCTGATACACTAAAATTGGTTATTCAAGCGTAATATTACTACGTAGTAACGGAGCTTAGGTAAACTGGCAAACAATTAAACGTCTATTCTTTCTATGTAAAAATAATCAGTAACTTGGTAAACTTTACTTATAAGCGATAAGTTTTAACTATTCGTTACTATTAATAGGTATATAAGTACTAATTAAAAAGATAGATGATCTTAATAATTATTATATTATTAATAATAACACTCATACTAATTAATTTACCGGTACGTAGTAAGAGCGTAGTTGGGTTCAAGAACTATAATAGACTATAATAGACAAATAATTACGAGTAATGTTTGATTAATGTATTAATGTATAAACTAAAAATGCAATGTGTCGTCTCTAATAGGAACTGTAATATAAACAATCGAATGTTTGAAATATACGATAAGAGTAAAGAAAACTTCGCTAATAATGCTTGCTCGTTAAATTTCTTGACTAATTAATTCGTTAATTTGCTTTGTATTAAACCGTTAGTTGGGCTGATTTCAAACTAGTTCCTAACTAGTTTGGAACCAGACCGAATATAATTAAATGTCGATCATATAACCTAATGCAAAATGATCCTCAATTTAAAGCTCGACGAAATAACTCATGCAGGAACAAGTAACCATTTCACCTATTGATAACACAGTTTATGTGACACGTACTTTTGCCACGACTGAACAAATTCATGGGGCAATTGAGCGGTCAAAGGAAGCTTTTTCCTCTTGGAAAAAAGTTTCTGTCAAAGAACGTGCAAATATTGTTTCCAAATTTGTTGATGCTTTTGTTGCCAAAAAAGATGATATCGCTAAAGAGATAACACTACAAATGGGAAGGTTAGTAACATTTAACTGAAAACAAAAACTTATAATTTATCAATAATTAAAGAATAATAAATATTTTGTAGGCCCATTCGATATACTGGTGGTGAAGTCAATTGTACTGCCGAAAGAGCACGATATATGATTTCTATTGCCGAAGGAAATCTCAAGGATGTTGAAATTATAGACGATAGACTTGAATTCCGTCGATTCATTCGCAAAGAGCCTTTGGGTACAAACTTTTTATTAAACTTTTAATTCTTTAATAAACATTTAAATATTTTGTTTAATTCACAGCTATTATCCATTATTTTTAATAGGACCAATTCTAATTATTGCAGGTTTGCAAAAAATAAAGTGATTAATTTGTTTTATATTTAACATTTAACAATTCTGTATGCTTAAATTTTAGCTTGGAATTATCCATATCTGGTATCCGTAAATGGTGTTATTCCGGCAATTCTCGCAGGTATCTAAAAAAAAAGTCTCATGCAAAATTTTGATTAGTATGTAAAAGATTAAAATTTTCAAATTAGGCAATACCGTTATCCTGAAGCAATCCCCGCAAACTCCATTATGTGCGGAAAGATTTGAGGAGGCTTTTAAAGAAGCTGGTCTTCCTGAACATGTATTACAGGTGTGATAATTTTTTAAATAGTGTTAAAGTCTTCATACAAGCGATCTATTATATATGTTTCTTTTGTGAGCCATTAGGTTTTGCATATGTCTAATAGTGATACAGAGAATGTTATAAAACATCCTGATATTGCTTATGTGAACTTCACTGGTTCTGTCAAAACCGGAAGAGAAGTTCAAAAAGCCGCAAGCTCTAAATTCATGGGTATTATAAACAATTTTGCATCATAATAACATACAATTAGTAAATTTTAATGTTGATAAATTCAATGCAACATTGGTTAGGTACCGGACTTGAGTTAGGTGGAAAAGATCCGGCCTATGTTCGTCACGATGCTGATTTAGACTACACTATAGAACAGTTGGTTGATGGATCCTTCTTCAACAGTGGTCAGTGTTGTTGTGCCATTGAGCGAATTTATGTGCATGAACAAGTTTATGATCAATTTGTAGAAAAATTCGTTGAATTGACAAAGGTTGAGATAGTTTCTGAAATTCTTTTTAATTAATTTAAAGATCAATTGCAATTGCACATTGTAAAATTACTTGTAATCTTTAGCAATACAAGTTGGGTAATCCATTAGACCCTGAAACAACACTTGGGCCTATGGTTCGTACTAGTTCAGCAGAATTTGTTCGCCAACAAATTGAAGAGGCTAGTATGTGTTGTTAAATAAATATATGTTGTCAAGCTTTTTTTTTTTTTTTTTTTTTTTTTTTTTTTTGCTAATTAAGTGATACTTTTAGTTAATCAAGGAGCAAAGCCTTTGATTGATACCGCATTATTTCCGGAGGACAAAGTATGATAAACTTTTATGAAGCTAATTATAAACCGATATAATATAAATATATAATGGTATTTTTTTTTTCTTAATAGAAAAATACACCTTATGTTGCACCTCAAGTTCTTATTAATGTTAATCATTCGATGAGAGTTATGAAAGAAGAAAGCTTTGGTCCTGTTATTGGCATAATGAAAGTAAGGTGGTAACAATTTTGTTATGATAGGTGAAATGGCAATGTCATATATATTTTCAAATAGGTATCCTCAGATAAAGAAGCTATTAAATTGATGAATGATTCAGAGTTTGGCCTCACTGCAAGTATTTGGACAAAAGATGAAAATGCTGCATTAGAGATTGGTAATGAGATTGATACCGGAACTTGGTTTATGAATCGTTGTGATTGTAAGATACTTTCATTTTATATAGAAATGATCATTGAATTGTTGGCACTTGTGTAGTTGACTGCAAAATTAAATTACGCTCAAATGTATGTAGTAAATGTTGTAATTTATTCTACCTTAAGTTGAATGCCTAATGCCGCAACTCAGTAATTTTGCTGTCAACCATACGCACTTGTTTATTACAAATAAGTGCTTGCAATTATTTAGTTTATATTTGAGTTTTTCTTAATTTTTTATTTATCAGATCTAGATCCGGCATTGGCTTGGGTTGGTGTAAAAAATTCTGGCAAAGGCTGTACTTTGGTAAGGCTGGTATATTCTTTAGAATATTTTAATTTTATATAATTAGTAATATATACATATTTTTTGATATTAGTCTAAGTTTGGATTTGACTATCTTACAAGGTATATAGTTTAAATAATTTACTTAAATTTTGCTTAAATAGTTTATTAAGCACATGAACTTTTTTAATTTTAGACCCAAGTCTTTTCACTTAAAACTGATAACTAAATAATAAAAAATTTCTTATCAAGTTTATTATATTAATTTGACAAAAAAAAATATTTTTATTTGAATAAATATTATTTAACACTTAATTTAACTCAGTTACAGTATATAGTATAAATTGTAGAGAATTGTAATATATCACCATTGTGATATTATTCTTTGACCAACCAATCAAAGTTGTGGATTTTATGGATTGGTTTAAAAAACAGTATTAAACTATAAATTAAACCAAATTTATCAACTATATAGTTTTAATAAAAAGAATATATATAATAAGTAATTAAAATACAGGATAAATTAAAATTTTATTAAAGCTTCTTAATTGAATACATATATTCTTTTATTATAAAGTTTAATCCTAAATCCTACCTTAACAAAAGCTAAAAAAATGTATCCAAACCTTTTTCGTGCAAAAAAAAGTTCAATTTCCAGATTCAATCGCGATGCCAATTTTATATAAACCAGTTATTGTCGTATACAAAATCGTAAATCTATTATTCCCGGCTGCAGCTAAATGCAGTTTTTACCATATACGTGCATATTTCGACTTCCTGCTATAAATGAGAAATATTCATGCTCTTAAAAGTTTCATTTATTGGTATAAACTTTTAATCATGTACTATACCCGGGGTTTACTATAGGTATTGTAGGTATTAGCATTGATGAAACATGAGAGACCAGGGTCTTCTTGTATGACAATTTACAGTACATATTAAAGTTTAGAAATTGATCTTTTCAATTGTGTTCGACATAAAACTCAATTCAAGTCTTGCCACAAATTTCGATTAAGCTAACCACTCCGTAACCATCTTGTGCAAGAATAATATATGTAGAATACAAAATTTGTTTGAAATCATATTTGATTAAATTTTACATAAATTTTGTGATACTAAAAAATAATACACATTTTAATAGGTAAAAATGTATATACAAATTTACATTATCGTAAACGAATATACATAGAAAAAAAATCTCAAAGTATTTAAATAAGTGCTAAATGACATCTCATTTATATGTAATTACAAAATGTTCAAGTCGAGTAATTAAGTAAATAACTCCATAGGAGTAACGGCATCAAATACGACAGAACCGGACAATGTTACATCCCTAAGGAAATTCAATGGGAATAAAACCAAATGACCTTTAATCTTATGTAATTCTGTTTTGGTTGCTTCCATATTTTGTTTTGACGCTTCAGTTATGTGCCCGAGTGGAACCTTGGTACGATCCGAAACAAACGATTTAAAGTCGTCCCAGTTTGCAACTAATGATAAAAGTCACGATATAATTAATAACATATTATTCAGAATACCCATTTATTTACGATAAAATAATTACCAGTATCATCTGGATAACAATGGAACACTTTACGGAAACTTTCAGTATTTTGAGAAGCAGTATGATACCAATGGTTTTTATAAAAGTCATCTGAGACAGGATCTTCAACAATTCTATCTGCGTGATGAAGGTTAAAGGGGTCAACACGATAATCTGACTCAATAGGTGGTGGATGACAATTATTGTCCACTTCTTCATGACTTTTATTGATTTCTAAACCAAGATGTTGCTTGAAGATGTGACGACGAAGTGTGGCAGCAAATTTTCCAGCTTGCCACTGTAAATCATTTAACCAATATTATACTTAGAAACTTATATTTAACAGGATTAGATTTAACATAATTGCGGTACATACTTTTTCTCCAGCCATACGAGAATGTATGTAATTTTTGTCTTCAATAATTGCAGCAATTTCAGAATCATGGTCACCATTTTGCGATCTATCGTTCAAGTTGGCTTCATAATAGATAATCACATGAGAAAATACTCATGTTAGCACTAATTTTATGATTAATTGAACCTTAAAGAAAATATAACGAACCTGAACCCATGATAACAATTCTGTCATCAGCAATCAAAAGTTTGGAATGTATGTATAACTCTTCAGTAACATAAGTACAATCATTTTCATCAATATGTGGAGGTGTACTGTGTTTGTGGTGGCTGGCTGAGTTGGATTTTGTATATTTGAAATTTTTACGAGCAGGGTCAACATGTGGATTATCGTAAGCTTTCTCGATTGAAGGAGCATCAACTTCATCATCGAGAACACCGCGACCAAATTTGACGGCCTGGTGAATGATTTTATCATGATTTCGAAGTGAATAGAAACCAATATAATCGCTTGGATCAGTACAACCAGAACTCTTTAGAGTTTCGATAATAGAATGACTTCCACGACAGATAGACTGATATTGAAAATGCATGACAAGACTTAAGTTAACAGAATAAGTTAGTTAACATAAATATAAGTCATTAATTTTGATTAAAATTAGAAATCACTTACCGAGGTACACCAGCATCAGAAGAATCAATTTCAGCAGGGAAACCCGGAATCAGTGGCATTACAACAATAACTTTGAATTTTTCTTTGTTCTTGTGGGCTTGTAAAATTCTTTCTACAATAGCCTATAAGAGATATGAATGTAACAACAAATGTATAAATTAATGCATTTCCAATAAAATATTTACCTTTCCAATGAGATTCCTGACAGGATAATCCTTAGATTCTTTTGTTGCAGTAACTAAGTGAAAACAAAACGAATATTATTACAAGAGGTTTACGGAAATAATAATGTGTCCTAAGGATACGTAAAGACTTACTGAAGAATTGATTTTCGATATAAATAAAATGCTTGGCATTTTTAATAACATCAATGTAAGCATTCTGAATAGAATGCTAGAAAGAAAAAGAATATATTTTATAAAGATGAGAATATGCGACATAATAATTACCGTAATAAAGAATCAATTAAATTACCTCAGTTTCATCAAGACCGAGACTCCAAGCTGCACTACTTCTCAAAACTTGAATATCACAAGTACCTTCTTCTGGATGCAAGTCTACGGATTTTCCACAAGAAGTGTATTTTCTTATTAGTGAGGGATGTTTCGCTAGGTACTCACGCTGGTACTGGGCATCGGACTTGGAGATCAAAACAGGGTATATAGGTTTGCTTTCATTCTTTTTCTTTTTAATAAAGTTCCAACGCTGAATAAAATGGTGGGCAACGTCTTGTGCAGGTTTTCCAACCTATAAATATTAAAATTGATGAAAATACAATCCATAAAATCAAAGAAAATGATTATTCAACATATGAGAATGATACTAACGAAGCCCATTGAGACGTCTTGCCATGGCATACGCGCAACATAATTTTTATCAACTAATCTTGAACACCATTTATCCACTAAAAAATAAACGCAAATTAATATGAAAAATTATGCTAGATAATACATTCAAAAAAAGTAAGTATTCGTACCTTCAAGAAAATCAGCGACTCTTGGATTAGAATAATCTTGACCTGGCCAGATAGAGCAGTAGTCGGATGATTTATTAAAGTCAGCAAGTGGGTGTTCACCGGTATCGTAACGACCAAAGCACAAGTCCAATCCACCAATGAAGGCAATGTGGCGATCAACAACACAAATTTTCTAAATAAAGAAAAATTTAGATGATTAGGCTTTACGAATTAAGAAAACGTTCAATATAATTATAAGTATAAAAGGGATTACCTCATGATGCTAAAAGGCAACGGAAAGTTAGGATATTTGATAATGAAATAATGAAATAATGAAATAATGAAATAATGAAATAATGAAATAATGAAGGAGAGAATAAAGTATAGAATAATTTACCGCCCAAAAGAAAGTACCATCAATTCCATGATTAGGATGTCTTTGTACTATACATGCAATATAAGATTAATGCCTCGCTTGCATACGTAAATATCTCAAAGGACGCTAAATAGATTCATAATTATCCATTACCAAGAATATTTTGATCCATATCTTCTATTAATACCTTTTTGCTATGTTTCGAGTTCAAAGTTAAGGCTTGTTCCAGCTCCCTGTAAAGGACAACATAAATTTTTACGCCTTGCTTCGCCTTTCTCTTAAGAAGTCTATCAAGTCGCCACTCTTCATTCTTATAAGGAGGTCTACGAAGATACTAATTCCAAATTAAAAGTTAAAGATATACTACGAAGACTGAAGTAATGGCTATTGTATGATTTTTTGAGGGCCATATTTCCGAAAAGACATAATACCGATTGAATCGGCTAGCATTGAGCTAATGCCAACTAACTCTGCCGGTATTATGTTCTTTGGGAATGGAATTCGGGAACTCGAGTTTTCAATCGCATTGTAAAACTCCGAATGAATCGAGATTATAACTTTTTTTTTTATTATATAAAAAATCAACAATTAAACTAACCAATTCAGGAGAAAGCCACCAATCTTCGATGAAGATTTCCTTTTCAGCATTAGAGATGGCCTCCGAAACGGCATAAAAGTAGTCTTTGCCATTGACATACCATTTCGCGAAAGATTTTTCTCTAATCGTTGCGAATGATCCATAACGAAAGGTCTTTGGAATATCCGCAGGTGATGATTTATCACCCTGAAAGTAGTTTACAACCTCAGTACCAATTTTTTCTATAAAATCTACCATTATCAAAAAACTTTACAATCGTTAAAAGGTAAAAATGGAAAATTGACAAACAAAAGAGAGTAAGAAATCACTCTGAGGAAAAATTCCCACATTTGAACAAAGCATTTATTTGTTATCGACGATTTATCTGCCGTTAGCTTCCTAATTCGACTCTTTGTGTTCGTGAAACTAACGATGTTATGTAAATAGTCTTGTGACGACCAAAACCAAGTGCCAATTAGTATCATATTTATTCTATATAATTTTTGTCGAGCCCATGGGTACTAATTGTAGCATGGTTTGGCGTCTATCCATCAATGATTTTCGATCTAAGAACCTAAAAAGGATGTATTAGGCTGTGGTTTATATATACACGTGTTCATTATTAGAGCTTCGAACGGGATATTTTATATTGATCTAAGTGATAATTCAGATAATTAAATATTCAATGACTTCAATGACATTAATGAACCAAATTTAACTTTAATGATAGGATCGACTAAGAGAATAGCCTAAGAAACTATGGAAATTTACTATCTGTTGTTATTGGGCGTTTGATATTTTCTAATTTCAATCGGATATATACATATCCGGTTAAGCTTGTATAAAATTAGAAAATGGAACGTAACGCTGAACAGATTTTGACTAATATTGATATCATTAATGCCAGTGCCGGATAAATCAATTATTATGCATAAGTAAGCTTATGTAAATTACGTACGTATGTGTCTCACAAATGTAACACCATGGTGTAGTAAGGTCTTATTAGCATTAGAAGCAACTATTGTGCTTACTCTTACTGGCATTCGAGACACTTTTTGGCTTATAACTATTATGTGGACCCGAACTTAAAGATTGTAAATTTTCTGCAAACGTATACACAAAAAGATCTTAATTGTAGTAGAGAATATTTCTGTATTTAAGAAAATCAACGTATGTAAATGCATGCAAGTTTAGCCAAAAACTTGAATTATGCAGTTAATGATTATCATTGTATTACGCAATATACAGTACTACGTAGTATCCCCAAAAATACCTCAAAAAGGAGCCAAAGTGAGGCAGTTCATTTATTAAATGTTATGGATGTCCTTGGATATCCTTGAATTAGGATTGGGTAGGTTTAAATATCTATTTCTTTTATTTTTTTTATTTTCTTTTTTTCAATTAAGATTGGCGACTTGTATGTCGACCAAACATGTGAATCTGCCTCACTTTCTATATTTTTAACATTCTCATTTTTATTATTTTTATTATATTTAACACGTAACGGTAAGTACAATTAGCATTATACGTACGTATTACGTATCATAACCTTATTTAGCTATTAAGCTTGTTTGTTTTGATGGTCGCAATATATTTATTTAGGTATTTGAATTCTAGAAAACGATTATACTCAATCATCAATGATGCTTGATAGCGCCCTTTGATTATACTATAACGAAAGTGGGGCACAATATATAATTTAAAAAGAAATTTATTGAATTTCCCATTATTGCAACATTACAATATTCTAATTTTATCACAATGCCAGCAATTAAACTTTTGAGGATTATGAATTTGTTTAGACATTTAGCAACCACACGAGATTTTCACACTATGTTAGATAGCCGATACATTTAAATTTTATGTACAAAGTAGATCGAAAAGACTTTTTTAATTATCGTTACGTACGAGATAAAATCGCATAACAACAAAATAATAACAGATAAAGAATGTAAAATATATGCGCGTACGTATGCAAATCTGATATACGAATTGATAGTCATAATGTAGGCTTTTATTGATTAAAGATTTTTAAAGATTTTTAATCATTTTTTCTATATGTGTATATGCAGTGTAATTATTGTGTACATTTGTAACTGGATTTTGTCAACTTACTGCGCTTTTCGAATTACTGTGTCCACTGATTCTCATACGCCACACCGGAAATCAGAAATCTAGAATAAATGCCAATACGTGATTGGCTAAAAATTATTTTCAACCAATCACAGATT